CGCCACCTGCACGATCTGGCCGCTGTTTGACCAGGGGTTTGCTGGCGTTCAGGGTGCATGAGCTTCACCCTCTGACAAATGACAATCTCAGACGGTGACATTCGGCTGTTGTGGATATTGTAAACATGTCTGTTCAATCTGTTTACATTCCCCCTGAGCTGGCACAGCTTTCCTAATGCCTATGTTAATAACAAGGTAGAATTGCAATAACAAATGAATTTCATTTAGTCTACAGCTAAAAGCCTTGGAAAGTACCCATCTAAGGCTGAAAACCAATTTCCACTTAGCTTTAATTTCTCTTTTAAAGAGAAAAGGAAATTCTGCTACTGAAATTACTTTGAAAGTCATGACATAGTCAAGCTTATTTTCTTAGTCATTTTTGGCTTGTTTTCTCAAGGTAATTAGAATTTAATTATTCCTAATCTCTTCATGAAAATATATAAAAGTTGCTGTTCTATGACAGTTTCATATTTATGAAGAACATATCCAGTCATAGTAGAGTTACCAGATTGAACCAATAAAAATGCAGGCCATTCATCTACATTTGAGTTTCAGATAAATAATGAATAATGTTTAAGTCCCTCTACTTCATTAGCAGGATGGAATCACTCATACGAAAATACTCATTTTTTTCTCTGAGACACCAATTTGGCACATACTTATACTAAAAGCATACCTATTATTTATCTGTAAAGGATGGCCTACCTCCCACCACACACCTATGATCCTATATTTGGGAAACTTAAGTTAGGGTCTTTTAAGATCTTGAATCTATAATTCAATATAAGGGTCAAATCCATAATCAAGGTTTACCAAAAATATTTTCCTGCCAGTAGCCTCTTAGTCTGTGCAGTTGTGGGTTTTTGTTTGTTTGTTTGTTTTTTGTAGCGGGGGTGGGGGTCGGTGGTAGTGGTGGTTAGAGGAAGGGACAGAGTGGGCAGGTTGGTTATAAAGGTAAGTTTTGAGGTTCTGTCCCTTTTCCTTGATCCGTCTGATGAACAATGGCATTCTGACATTTGTTTGAGCAGCATCCTAGCCCAGCTGCCTACTCTTTATTAATTATTCAAAAGATTTGGAAGCTCTCAGTGATACCTGTTATTTAAAAAATAACTTCCTTCTGCTAAGCTGGGGTTTTATAGGTATTAAAAGTGAAGCAGTGGCCTTGCAAATATTTGTCAAAGATCTAACATCAGATCACATTCTGCAGTAGCTCTCCTACCTCTTACAAGCTGTTCCCCCTGTTGTCTAAATCTAACAGGAAGGCTTCTCCCTTAACACTGACTCACTTGACCACCTTCCAGGCAACTACTTCTCCCTAAGAGGAACATTCTTCTCGTCTCCCTCCATTATTCAATTTAATAAGATGTATTAAAACAATAGGCATGGTGAATAGTTCACATTATGAAGTTCTTTAGTGTGAGCCGGTTATTAAAAAAGGGAATTTATAATAAGGGCAATGCATTAGACTTTGCAAGTTGAGGAGTCTGTTGGTGATATCGGTAAAGGCCCAGTAAATGGCTTGGCAGTCAGAAGCACTGAGTTGTAACTCCAAATTATGTACCAAGCTGAGTGACCTTGGGTATGTTACTGAACCTCTAAAACGTTTAATGACCTATTTTAGGTGACTACTGTTGGTTTTAAAATAAAAGATTGCAGGTAAAATGTTTTATACCAAGTGAGATAAATTTATAAGCGCGTAGAAAAGGAGCAATTATATACTAAAATAATTAAGTTGCTACAAATATATTGTTGCATCTAGACTAGCATGGTGTGATAGCAAATCCTTCATTTACCAGCTATGCAAATTTAGGAAATCACCTAGCCTCATTTTCTTACCTGCATTATGGGACTAATAACCATAACTATCTCACTAGAATTGTGGAGAGAAAAAAAACTGATTAATTTGGGTAAAACTCTTCATATAAAAAAAATTCATGTGAAGAGTGTTGTAAGCACCTGACTTTTAATTTTCATCACCATGTTTGTCATTGTTATTCCAGGAGGCAGGATTTCATCAAGACAAGTCTTAATGGTCTTGTAGTATTCAAACAAAGTATTGAAAAGAAATTCCTAGCCCAGGGGACAACAAGAATAAGAGCAGAGAAGAAAGGAGCAGGAAAAGTTTGTTTAGGGGTCAGAAAAGTAAGTTTGACTGGACAATAATGAATAGACTAGAAAGCTAAACATGGCAGATGGAGGCTTGAGTATTGAAGAACTTGATGAAAGATGGAGTTGTCTCTAGTCCTTCACTGCCCAACAGAGTCTTTCAAGCTTTCAGAATAGAGTAATGTGATTAGATTAACCTAGTGGTGCTGGTTTAAAGAAATTAAAACAGAAAACAGAGGCAGGACATTAGGAGACTCTGCACAGTTTCAGCAAGCAACAAGAAAGGAGAGTCAGAACCTGGGCTTTTCAAATAAGAATACAAAAGAGGAGACATATAGGCTGGTTTAACCAGACCTACAGAACTCGGCAACTGTTTAGAGGAGGCGGCTATGGGAGGGAGCCAGAGAGGGAATTGCCTGAGCAGCAGATCAGATAAAGATTGGTAATCGGAAATTGAGATCATGTGTCATGGGAAAAGCGGTGCTGGGTCTAGACAAGAGTGAGACCGATGCACTTGCTAAGAGACAACAGAGAACCCAATGGGAGTGGAGAATAAGTTGCCACAGGCTGTCAATGAAAGCAGTAATCAAGATATAGATGGTAGCTGTGGACAGAGCGAACAGCAGTGCATAAAACGGTGCTTTGTGGAAGCAATGAGCAAAGGAGGATGATATGATAAAGACAGTATCATCTGTGCTCTAGGCCCCTAGCAGAGCCCCTTGGGGCTGACCTTGATGCTCTTCCTCTGGTCTCAGAGCACTGGAGTTAAGATGATCGGAAGCCTCATCAGAAAGTAGTGTGTTTATCATACCACTGTTCTGATGGCAAAATCTAGTAGCATCTATAGTCTAAATAGGTATTTAAAGAACAAATGAATGAACAAACAAGCCACCGGCTCTTGGAATCTCAGAGCTCTGTATCATCTTGCCTCATAAGGTTCTTTCCAACTTAACAAACTAGCTTCTCACTGAAACCCATTAGTTGCTCTTTGCTAACTTCTTTTACTAGCATTTAAGAACCTGATGAAAACCATCAATGGTTCTCACATGTGTTCTTCAAAGCCTTTGAGGTCCCATGAAATATGCTCTCCTGCCCAAGGCCACCCCATGCTCTAGTGCCAGTGACACTTATGTGAGCTGGAGTGAGGCAGAGCTGTTAAAATTAAATTGGTTGTGGATACTGGACATCATTCTGTAAGGCTGAGATTTTTTTTAAAGCTGAAAACACTTTACCCTTTAAACTACAAGTTTCATTTAAAGGAAGCTCATTGTTTATATTTCAGTTATTGTCCAAATAGCTTACCTTGCAACCTAAGAGCTAATCCCTTCCTCCATTCACCGTCTCACCGTAAACCAAAGTGGAGACAAGTTAGGAACTAGGCATGGGGCCCTTCCTTCTCTGACTGTAGTTTATTTTCTACAGCGTTTCTGTTTTCCAATCATCGACCTGAGGTTATCCTCCAAGAAGCTCAGGAACACATTAACACAGGTGGTTCCTGAGAAAGCCAAAGCTTTAGTTCAGGCTCACACTATGATTCTGTTTAATTGACTTGGGATGGAAGCCAGTCAAGCACTGGTGTGCTGGAGCTGGTTCCTGAGAGCCAATTTGTGCTCATCCTTCCCCAACTTTGCATTCAATGATAGCACAGAGATAGTATAAAACCAACCACGCAGGCAGGATTTACCCCCTTAGAAATCCTCAAATGCTACAAGTCAGGGTTTTTAACCACCCAGAGAGCCAGCATATCACAACCACGTTCAAATATTTTTTTAAGGTTCCCAGCAAGAAGTGAATGCATGGCTGGCATTGAGAACTGCTGCAAATAAAGGAATAGACTAAATGAATTCATTTTGATAGGAATGTGATAGGTCTGAAATTACATGTTAGCAGCTTCACTTCCTGGGACCACAAACATGCAAATATTGTATGTACTCAATGCACTTCAAAAAATAAGCCCAAAGACCCTATATAAGTCCTATTTTTTAAAATGATTTATTTACTGATGCATACAGAAATGGGGTACAGCCACAGGTGTGGGTGGTGAGAGGATTCACTAGAGACAGAGTGGGGAGCAAAACAGGTGGATTCACTGAAGTACACTGCTGAGGGGAGCAGTGGGCGAGACGAGAGGTCTGCTGTACCATGTGGGTCACCTCTGGGATGGAACTTGCACTGAAGCAGTCACGGCTTGGCTTAGCTTCGCTTCGCAGTGCAGTGCTCCAACCTACTATGCCACCAGGGAGGGCCCATAAGTCCTACTTTTAACGGACTCAAATGTTTATTAAAAGAGTTTGTTATTTTGGAATTAAAAGTCCAATCATGCTATTTTAGAATCATATAATTTGAATACTGAAGGGGATTTAAGACAATCTAGTCTAAATATATCAAGAGTTAAACACACACACACACACACACACACATACCAAGATGATAGAAACAGGCACATGACATCCACCATCTACCAACTAATATCAAGCAGTGTTAGGGCTACCTTATCCCCTAAATTTCCATGTGGATTTATGTGGCAAGTATATTTTTTAAAGGAACAAAAGAAACAGTTACAGAATAATTTCTTGATAGTCCTAAGGGGAGTAACCTTGTCATAGGTCCACCATAAAAGAAAGGATTCAAAGTTTCAAACGATCATGTCAACACATGACCCAGGTAAAAAGAATGTTAACAGTGCATGGATTTCCATACCTCCTCATTTGACTATAGCAAACATTTGTATTGAGTTCATCTCTGTGAAAAGAACGCTTCCCTTCTCACAGGAAGGTGAACAACTACCACAGATTAGATTCCTCAGCACGTCATCTTAGGTACTAAATGAAAAAAATCCTACATTCCAGGTTGCCCTTTGTCACCAAAGTAAGGAGAAGACATAAACACCATACCCATGCAAGAAGCAATAGATTTCTTTTCACTGTTCCACAATATCCTAGCATGCCCACAATGATGAGGAAGCAGCAAACAGCAATCATGACCGGATGAACCACAGGAAAGTAAGTCAGGATGACAGCCTCCTCTACCCTGTAAGAAGAAAATTGTGTCATTTATAAATAAAATATAGTCCAAATGCACCCAGGACATAGTACAAGGAGCAACTGTGGTTTGTGTTAATAATCCTTTCAGTCAACATACCTCAAAGTTGATGACTATATTGCTTTTTCAAAATCACTAATTTGCTCACTTGTTTTATTCTTGTATAAAGGTGGTTTAGTTTCCTCTGCAATGGTAGCATTTCTACCTCAACTCATTTAAAATATATAAGGTAGGTGTCCTCCATAAAAAGTCAATTTATTGAGTCCTCCCTGGTGGCGCAGTGGGTCAAAGCACAGCACTAAGAAGCTAAAGCCACTTCTGCATGAGTTCGATTCCCGCCTGCCCCAGAGGTGACCACATGGCGTGATAGACCTCTCCTGACCCGCCCGCTGCTCCCTTCAGTGGTGTACTTCCTCGATCTACCTGTTCTGCTCCCCACTCTGTCTCTGGTGAAGCCTCTTGCTGCTTCTGAGGCCTCTGGCCTGTACCCCAGTTCTGTATGTACAAATAAATAAATCTTTAAAAAAAAAAAGTCAATTTATCATTAGCTTTGAAGTCTCAGCCTGAGGAAACCACACGGACCTTTTGCTATTTCCCAGCTAACAAGAATCTCCTTCTCTTTCTCTGATCTAAGATCCCGTGTTCTGTGCTTTTGTTTTCCCTGACAGCTGGTCCTTCATAAGAATGTGAAGACTACTATGTAAAGGAAAATTGGTCCATATTAAAAGAAAGAGGGAAAAAGATAGATTTTGCTAGAAAACTGAAAAAGTCATTAATCAGACTGTGAGAAATAAAGATAACAAAAACTTACCATTACCATACATACTAAGTGCTTACTAAGCACCATTATGTTAAAGACTTTACAAAGAATTTTTCTTTCTTTCTCTTTTTTAAAGATTTATTTTTTTTATTCATACAGAACTGGGGTACAGGCCAGAGATGCGGAGGGCGAGAGGATTCACCAGGGACAGAGTGGGGAGCAGAACAGGCAGATCAACCAAGTACACTGCTGAGGGGAGCAGCGGGCGGGTCAGGAGAGGTCTGCTGCGCCATATGGGTCAGTTCCCTGACTGGGGATTGAACTTATGCTGCAGTGGCTTCTGAGAGCTTCAGTGTAGTGCTTTAATCTGCTGCACCACTAGAGAAAGCCTTCTCAGTAGTGGTGAGTATAAACTACAATATCTGTGAATAAACTGTTTATCTCAGAGAAATTAAGTAATTTGCTCCTTGTGAGGTTAATGGACCGACCCCTGAAATGGGAGAAGAAAATTACTTTTAGGGGAGGTTTGACTTTCATTAGGTCAGAAATATGAAGGTAAGAAGTTGGCAGGGACTTTCTGATGGAAGAGTATTTATGCTGTTTTTTATTCACAAATATGGCATGGCCGAAACAGTCAGGATAGGGATGGACCTACCAATCACAGAAGTGTTCTCTATCGGCCCTCCCTGGTGGTACAGTGAGTTAAAGCACAGCACTATGAAGCTATCTGCAGCCACTGCAGCACAAGTTCAAACCCTGGCCAGGGAGGTGACCCACATGACACAGCAGACCTCTCCTGATCCATCCCTGGTTCCCTCAGCAGTTATTTCAGTCAGTCTGCCTGTTCTGCTTCTCATTCTGTCTCTGGTAAATCTTCTCATCCCCCACATCTCTGGCCTGTACCCCAGTTCTTGTATGTATAAATAAATAAATCTTAAAAAAAAAAATCTAGTACCTGTGGCACAATTTAATAAGAAAACACCAGTGCCTGCCACAAAGTTGTCACTCATGGGCAGAATCAACTTTCCAAGTGATGATGGAAGAGCCCAGCCATCTAAACAGCTAGAGGCAAAGTTACTCAGAAATTAGCATATGAGGAAAACTGAGTTGAGGAATCAATCATTAATTATAAAGCCTACCTTGTTTCCGCAGTTAAAGTCAGAACATTATTTAAGTAGTCCCTCATCCAAGCTGAAATTGCCAGCACACTGATTGACATTAGCTGTGGGGGGAAAACATACAAACTGGTTACTGAGGATTTATGCAACATTCCTTACCAGATTAATGTTTTTGAAAACGAAGAACTTTCATTACATAACCATTGTTTTTCCTAACTATCATTTGCCACCTGTTGAATATTACTATACATATCTGCAATTATGTTTTGTGATCCTGTCATAGCCACAAAATAGAAAGTCACCCCGGAGGATACAGCAAGTTGAGCTCTTAAATGGCCAATTCCAGGTTCAGGATAGAAATTGCACAAGGTGAGAAAGCCACAGAACAGTTACATTATCAAGCACACAAAATATGCCTAAAACACAGTCACATTTAAAAGCAAGCAAGTAAATACTGAGATTGTCCCAGAAAGTCACAAGAGCTAAACTGAAGAGGCTTACATTGGTTAAATAACAACACAATGGTTAAAACATATCAACATGCTGCAATCTCTGAAATCACTGTAATACTTAAAATACTTAAAACTCTGACATGAGATTGGACACTCAATATGTTATTCAGAAAACTGCTAAGAATTTAGTAATTATCCTAATGTTCCTGCATAGCTGAAGAGAAAACCAATAACTTATTGGAAATTTTCACAGAGGAATTTCTGCTAACATGGACAAAAAGCATGATAGAGTATCACTCTGTAATAGTGATAGACTCTCATGATTTAACAATCCACTCTGACAGAATGCACCTCTGGATAAAGATCCTCTATTGCTTACAAAATAATCAAGTCAACAGTTTTCGGTGCCATATGCACATTACAATCACCGAGAGCTCTTAAAAATCTATTGAGGCCCTCCCTGGTGGCGCAGCGGGTTAAAGCACAGCACTGAGAATATGAAGCCACTTCCCCATGAGTTCGATTCCCGCCTGCCCCGGAGGAGACCACATGGCGAGCCAGACCTCTCCTGGCCCGCCCGCTGCTTCCCTCAGCAGTGTACTTCGTAAATCTGCCTATTCTGCTCCCCACTCTGTCTCTGGTGAAGCCTCTCACCGCCCCTGAGCCTCTGGCCTGTACCCCAGTTCTGTATGAATAAATAAATAAATCTTAAAAAAAAATTTAAAAAAAAAATCTATTGAGCCCAGGGCCTTCTCTGGTGGTGAAACGGGTTAGGATGCTGCACTGCAAGCTAGCCACAGTCACTTCAGTGTGAGTTCGATCCCCAGCCCTGGAGGTGATCCACAAGGCGTGGCAGACCTCTCCTGTCTCACTGGCCCCTGTACCTCTGGCCTGTACCCCAATTCTATATGCATAAATAAATAAATTTTAAAAAATTACTGAGCTCAAATCTGCTCTGAGAGTGGAGGCTAGCCATCAGAAATATATATATAGGTTCCAGAGATGTCCTGACTTGTAGTTAAGGGCTGAGTGATATGAAAAGACTGCGTGATATGAAAGGCTGATGGAATGGAGCCATCAGGCAGGTGAAAAATACGGGACCACACTGACTGGTCTCAGGATCACCAAAGAGACAACCAGACTCAAAGTGTCCCTCGATGTGATGCAATTTGAGGTATACAAAAATACATAGTTAAACTTTTTAGCAAAAAGTCAAACCTGAATGTAATCAAGCCTCCAGCTCTAGTTTACGGGGAATACAAGAAGGGTGCTAAACGTGCTACATGCCACCACAGGAATGCAATCAGCAAAATCGAGATGGGAAATTTTACTGGAGCAGTAAACTGGCTGCTTCATTTAAAAAATGATAAATCAGGGCCCTCCTTGGTGGTGCAGCAGGTTAAAGCACAGCGGATTAAAGCAAAGCACTAAGAGGCTAGAGCCACTTCAGCATGAATACGATCCCTACCTGCCCTGGAGGTGACCACATGGCACAGCAGACCCCTCCTGACCCACCCGCTGCTCCCCTCAGCAGTGTACTTCGTCGACCTGCCTGTTCTGCTCCCCACTCTGTCTCGGGTGAATCCTCTCATTGCCCCTGCACCTCTGTCCTGTACCCCAGTTCTGTATGCATAAATATAATAAATCTTAAAAAAAATGATAAATCAGTGAAAAGTTTTAGAGAGGAGAAACTCTCAAAGATTAAAGGATATTTAAGAGGTTACCCAGTGCTATATATTAACTTGGTTAAACTTTGGATTCAAAGCAACCAACCACAAAGAGACATGTATGTATGGGATGACTAGGATACGTAAGAATACTAAGGAGTTATTATTTTAGCGTGACAGTGTGTTAACGTTATTTTTCAAAGGGTCTTGATCTTTTAGAGATGGAAGAATTATGAATAACATACTGTGGTTGGATATTAAATAATCATGTGTGAGGGTTAGATGGGAACTGAAGTTAAGAGCTGTTGAAATTGAAAAATGGATTATTGGAAATTAATCATGCTGTACTCTCTATTTTTGGTATACATTTAAAACTTTCCATAATTTTTTTTTTAAAGCAACTATGTAGGACATGTTCAAAATGAAACTTGATAGGAAACTTCTAAAAGCTGAGAGTTCACCTTTAATTCTTTCCCATTCTGATGAAAACTTTTCTAAAATGTGCCTTAGACTTATCTCCTTAGGCACAATAGAGTGCAATTCAATTTAATTTAACTTTTCATAACCTTTGCCATCTTAATGACCATCAGTTATCATCTTATATTTCAGCTTAGCTTTGTCTGCTTGTGACACAGAGTCAGCAAGGTAGGGATGAGTGTACTGATCCAAGGGGTAGCCGTGAAACACATTTTCTGGAAAACGGTTTTGTGGTAAAGAGAGTGTGGTTACCTGCCTGGAAAATCTGCTACAGAATATACTTTTCCATCATTCAGCTTCAAGCATTTACTCATCACGGGTTATCTGCTTTGTATCGAATATGGTGGATTCAGAGACGCAAATGCAGTAAGAGACAAGATCGTGTCCACATGCATCTAGTGTGTGCACACATAAACACAGCATATTGTGGAGACGCTTGAGGAGCACAGAATAAATATATAAATAGTATGTTTATAAATATATAAATAAATAATCATAGACTGTTTAAAAATAGCATGAATCACAGAAAGGTAAAGTAACCTGTTCATGCCCTCACAGGTTCTAAGTGGCAGAGCTCAACTGCAAAGCCTACAGGCTTTAGAACACTGGCTTACTCATTAACTGCCTTCCAAGATTAGCAGCGAGCCTGGTGATTTCACAGACAGGGAGAGACTCCCCTGAACAGCATTGCAGTTCCTTTAAAAAGGACAGCGAGGGAGGGGCGAGGAGGAGGACAGTGGGAAACTGGCTATAGGCTCAAGCTCAGTCTGTGTTTCTGAACTTTATTCTTTGGTAAATGGGGGTTCAAGCATTAATGGCTTAAATAAGGTTAAGACCACAGCTCAGAGAATTAGGCCAGTTATTATTATCCTCATTTCTGCTGGGAATGAAGAACAGATTGTAAAGCTAATAAAAGTTACTCATCAGGTCAGCTACAGTGTATTAACCATGCCTCTAACTTCCATACGCTTAATGCTCGAACATCTGCTCTACGTACATAAGCTGGACACACCTTAGCTTGGACAAACTGCTAACATGCTTGAGTCACCTGGCCTGGACCTCCCACCTCTCTGGTTACCTGCTTTCCATCAGGAAGTCCTTCTTTGAGGGGCATGCTTTTCATTTTCTAATACAAACCAGTCACCTGGAACCTCACATCCCCAACCATATTTATGGAGGTAGAACATCTTGGGTTACTCCACACACCTGCTCTTGTCACCCCAAAGCAGGTGTAGGCCACTAGGAAAAGCCTTTGTGCCCCAGAGCTTGCTGAAATTATTCATACTAGCCATTCCTAAACCTGCCACCACCTTGCCTGTCCCTTCTTATGAAACCATAATGTAAGCACATACTCCTGTGCACTCCCGTCTCTTGAGCTCTGTGAGCACAATGAGCTTGTCTTTTCAATGCCAGCCCTCTGCTCTGTCGGCCTCCACACACCTGAATAATAAAACATAACCTATTAAAGCATGCAGGACTAGCAGAAGATTGCAGACTACTTGATTACATCTTAGGCGGGGTGTTCTCCCTCTACATGGCTATATGTGGGTCTCTAATGCTCTGCAAGTTTAATGGAAACCAAAGTCTATTAATGTGTAATTTTATTTAATTATCTCAAATTCTTTTGTATTTATAAATAATTTTCTCCTATCTTTATTGCTCTTCAAAGTCATAACTTACCTTGGTTTCTCCATGTTCTAATTTCTTATAGGCTGTTTAGTCAATTTTCAATATCATAGCTCTGAGGCAGGTGTCAATAAATTATTGAATTCTTCGTATTGTATAATGTATTATCAGTGGTAGTCATGATAGATAGTTCTTTACTTATAACAAAAAATTGTATTTCTTTTCGATAGCATATGCCAAGACATCTCTAGTATGGTAGGAGAGTTTGGGTCTGGGAGTCAACTTTCCCTTTAAAAAACATGAGTTCATCAGCTTCTCTTTGCCAGGTACTGTGTGATATGCTGCAGACACAGTGATGGGCAACAGCAGGTGCCATCTCTGTTCCATGGTAAAAGGAAATGAAGGCGATACACATTAATCACTTGCAAATTGTAACAGCTATAGGGAAGAATAATACCAGTTGCAACAAGGAACTTTTTGGGCTGACTACCTTATTCCATGGGGTCACAGGGACTTCTCTAGGAGAACTGATAACAAAAGGATAATATCAAGTTAAGTAGTGAGGAGGTTGAAAAGAATATACCAGTCAGAAAGAACAGCAAAAATCTGAGAGGAAGCCTGCATCATTAAATTTAAAGAAGGGGATTGGTACATGGTGAGCATGGAAAGCCAGACAGAAGCCAGATCACAAGGACTCCGAGTGGTCATTTAGGGCCTATGGTCTTGACCGTGAATCAAAAAGCCTTAGCTGAATTCTAGCTCAGTTCCTCTTTGTGCATATGACTTTGGGTATATTATTTAATCTTTCCTATGCTCCTATTTCCTCACATATAAAATGTTATAATAAGAAGTACCTACTTTATGGAATATCTGATGGAAAAA